AGTGCACGCGCCCTATAGCGAAAACCTCCCCAAAAAAAAAAAAAAAAAAGAAAAAAATGTATTATGCTAGTTAAAAATGTTACAGTTGGGACCAGCAGTTAGTGTAATAGCTATGTCACTGGACTCCCATGTAGTAGACCCCCACACTCCTTTTTTTAAGATGTGTGTGAATTCTAATGTCCCTTCCTTTCCTATTTTTTACCTGGATACTGGGAGATATGAAACCTCATATGAACAACTTCCTAGACAAGCTTTTTCATCTGTTTCATGTGACCTTCTCGTCCTACCCCTCAAGTTGCTTGCTTTGGTCAAGTCTGTGAGTTGCAAAAACAAACACAAAACTGAAATATAACTTTGGTTTGAAAGTGAGAAAGAGAGAATTATTAGCTTATTATGTAAGTTTTAGTTTATCTAACTGAAGAGTCCAAAGTCAGTAGGACTGACATTAGGTACAATCGCAACCAGACACTCAAAACCTTCTAGACCAAGCCCATATCTCTCTTGTCATCACTGAGTTGGCTTCATTTCAGACAGGACCTATCCATAGTGACTCCCTGTTACCTCTGGATTTGTAGTCTCCTTTCAATTAACATCTTCAGTAGGAAGAGATTCTCTCCATTCCAATAGTTCTAACAAGTCCTCAAAACTGAGTTTTACTCAGAGAACTTGAATCATGCACACAGCCTGTGGATAGGGAGATGAAAGACACTCATGGGCCAGGCCATCATCACATGGTTGCACCTGAAACTGTTCACCCCACTAAATCCATATGGAGTGAAAGTGGTTCTTCAAAAGATAATCAAAGCTACCGTCAGAACAAAGAGGGGTGGAACAGCAGGTGGTAAGTGGTTAAGGCACTGAGTAGCACATGGCCAACTGTGGTTTGAGTCCCAGATCCAGCAGTTTGAAAATCATGTCAGGCACATGTGTCTGTGTGTGTGGCCAAAATCCTGAGAGGAGACTGAAGGAGAAGGGATTGCAGCAAGGAAGGGGGTGGGGATGTGTGAGATTTCTCTCCTTCCTTTTCACTGACTCTCTCCGGTGAGTACAGAAGCCCTATGACAAAAAAAAAAAAAAAAAAAAAAAAAAAAAAAAAAGGAGAAAAAACAATAAAAAGAGAAGAAAAAAATGTTTTGTCAAGAAAAGGTAAGAATGAGAAAGACAAAAGAGCAGCAGAGAGCTAAGTTTAAATTTTTTTTTAAAATAGAGAGAGATGGAAAGAGACAGAGACAGAGAGAATAAGTTGGGTGCTCTAACCTGACTCCTGACTAGACTGGCGAGCAGGGAGGGTAAAGTCTGGGCAGAGGATCTTCAGTGGTCGAAATCCCTGATTGGGATACCTGGTGTGTTTTCCAAACTGTCAAGTCTGGGGCTCGAACTGTGTAGTCAGCCATGTAGGATCCAGCTGCCTCAACCGCCATGCTACTGGGCTGGCTCTACAACTTAATTATTATTCTTTGTTCTTTATTTTTCTCATGTTTACATCCCAGGAGTTTTTAACAGAAGCCTTGCCTGTTGGCCTCATTGGAATGAATTGTGTTTTAATGAAACAGTACATTGAATTTGTAGCAGACAGATTACTTGTGGAACTTGGATTCTCAAAGGTAAGGTGTTTAAAAATGTATTATGGGGACCAGCAGTTAGCGTAATGGCTATGTCGCTGGACTCCCATGTAGTCGACCACGGTTCGAGTCCTGGACCTGGTGGCTTAAACTCACGCCGGGCACGTGTGCATGTGTGCCCAAGATCCCGAGAGGAGAATGGACGAGAAGGGATTGCAGCATGGCCATCCCCCCTGGGGGGGTGATTTCTCGCTTTCTGTCTCTCTGTCTGTCTCTGTCTGTCTGGCGAGCACACGTGCCCTATAGCAAAAATCCTCTCAAGAAAAAAAAAAAAAAAAGGGAACCATCAGTTAGCCTAATGGCTATGTCTCTGGACTCCCACGTAGTCGACCGTGGTTCGCGTCCCAGACCTGGTGGCTTAAAACTCACGCCGGGTTAGTGTGCGTGCGTGCCCAAGATCCAGAGAGGAGAATGGAGGAGAAGGGATTGCGGCATGACCATCCCCTCTGGGGGGTGATTTCTCACTTTCTGTCTCTATGTCTCTCTCTGTCTGTCTGGCGAGTGCACGCGCCCTATAGCGAAAACCTCTCCAAAAAAAAAAAAAAAAAAGAAAAAAATGTATTATGCTAGTTAAAAATGTTACAGTTGGGACCAGCAGTTAGTGTAATAGCTATGTCACTGGACTCCCATGTAGTAGACCGTGGTTCGCGTCCCGGACACAGTGGCTTAAAATTCACACTGGGTGCATGTGCGTGTGTGCCCAAGATCCCGAGAGGAGAACAGAGGAGGAGAAGGGACTGTGGTGTGGTCATCCCCCCTGGGGGGTGATTTCTCGCTTTCTGTCTCTCTCTGTCTGGCAAGCGCACGTGCCCTATAGCAAAAACCTCTCCAAAAAAAGAAAAAAAAAGTTACAGTCAAGTAAGTTCCTTAAAATAGTATATTTCATTGAAAATATTTTTAACAGTACTATTCTTTCAGAATGTTCATCAAAGAGACTTGTTTTATATGAACAAATGTGTTTTGCAGAATAATTTGAGAATTAAAATGAATAGATAGCATATGTATTCCAAATTCCAAAAGGATGGAGACACAGAAGAGAAGGGATTGACCATGCCCCTTTGGTCAAGTGCCTTCTCCTTCTCCTTTCAGTCTTACTGTTTTTCTCTCTCTGGCAAGTGTATACTCCCTCTGGCAATTAAGGAAAGAAAAAAGGAAATTGATAACTGAATTAGGAAGCTGATAAATCTGAGCTAATAAGCCAAATAAATTATTTTGTAATAATTTCAGATATCTATTTAATAGAATTATCTTCAAGTAATCAGATGTGATATCACATGTTAACCCTCATTTAGATCCCTATGAGTTTATATTGTAATTTGAGGATTAATGCTTTTACATAGGGAGTATAGAGTTACTAAGAAGACTTTTAGTTACTAAGAACTTAATGTTTTTAAATTGACTTTTAGAAGACTTTAATGTTTATATATTGACTTTTGGAACTTAGCTATCTTTTACTTCTGTTATTTTAGCAGAAATAATGTACCCACATTTCATAAAGAGATATGGTTTTCACATGACTTAAAAGGTAGGATTTTAAGGTGGGTTAGAATCCTGGATCCACCACTTTCTAGCTGACCTTTGGCAAGTTGTTTAACCTCTGTCTCAGTTTACTCATCTATAAAATGAAGGTAATACTACTGCAAAGGATTGTTGATGAGTTGTTATGCTTAAAGTATTTAAAATAGTATTAGACATAGAGTAAATGCACAGTAAATGGTCACTCAGTACTCAGTGTAAGTGGAGCAGTTGCAGAAATTCACTGCATACTATACTGTGGTAATTAGAAACTTTGGATTTTGATTTCTTTGCATGGAAATATAAGTTTAAATCGCATTTAATGAGAAGCCATTCATGATGTTATAGTAATCATTACCTTCTTTGGTAATGCATTTATTTCTGGTAATAACAGAAATACTATAATAGAAGAATCAGATAGGGCAGAAGTTTTTGGTAACCATAACTGTATGTTATAGTTTCAGTTTCAAGAGCCTCTCAATGTTTACTTAAAATTAACAAAAGAAATCAAGATTATAATTGTATTAATATAAAAATCTCTTAAGCTTTTAAACTATGTGTATTGTAAAAAATTAAAAAAAATTTTGTTCATGGTTTTACCCATATGTTTGTTATAGTAAAATTGGTTTGCTTACTTAAGCCTTAAGGTAAACTCAACATCCTATAACTCACCACTATATCCTGACATTCACATCTCTGTTTTACTTATTGAAAAACTGCTGATCCTTTGGTCTAGTTTTTGCTCTGAGAATGTGCTAACTATAGGTTTATGAAACATACTTCCCACAGGAGAAAATCTAAACCAATGTAAAATTTAATTTTTCTGCAGGTGTACAAAATAGCCTAAAATAATATAGGCCTCTTAGATTTTAATGCAATAAAATTAGAAATAAATAACAAAAGATTTCCAAGAAGCTTCATCTACTTAGAAATTGAAACGATATCTTTAAAATGAGATTAAAAATGAAAATATTAAAAAATTGAAAACATATACTAAATGACAATAATATTCTTCTTCAACAAAACTTGTAGAGTGAAGCCAAAAGGGTCCTCAGAGAAAAATGTATAGACTTGAATGTGCATATTGAGAAAACAAGATAATTTTAAATATATGAGCTAAACTTGAATACAAGGAGCTAGAAAAAGAACCATTCTTGGAACCGGCAGGAAAAAATAGAACCATTCTTGTAATGATGGCTTTTGGGTAAAGTAAGAGATGATTACAATTAACAAGTAGTTGTCATTTGTACAGAAAGTTAAGTAGAAGCCATATTAATGATGTTATCAAACTCTCTTTTAGTTTAAGTCAATAAATATTTGATTGC